TCGCGCGGCCCGCGCGCTCGCGCTCCTCGTTGTGGGAGATCGTCGTCAGCGCGTCGCGCCAGACGTGCGCGCACCGCTCCGCCTCGGCCGCCGCCGCGGCCGCGTCGCCGTCGCCGGCGGGGTAGAAGGCGACCTTGCGCGCCCGCTTGAGCGCCGGCGCGAGGCCCGTCGACCGGACGGCCGCGACGGACGAGAGCTGGTAGTCGCGGTCGTCGACGTCCGCGAGGCGCGCGAGCGCGGCGAGCGCCGCGGCGCCCGAGGCCGCGGCCGCGAGCTCGTCGGCGAAGCCCCGGAGGCGCTCGAGCACGCGGTCCTCGTCGTCGTCGCCGCCGTCGTCGCCGTCGTCGTCGTCCGCCGCCGCCGAGATGCGGCGCCGCGGCGGCGCCGCGGCGGGCAGCGGCGCGTCGGCGGCGGCGACGCGCGCGCGCTTGGGCGCCGGCGCGCCGTCGGCGGCGGGCGCGCCGCCGTCGCCGGGCGCCGCGGCCTCGGCCTTCGCCTCCGCGCAGCCGTCGCAGCGCCACGCGCGGCGCCGCCGCGCGAGGCCCGTGCAACTCCGGCACATCTCGACGGCGCAGACGTCGCAGCGCACGGCCGCGTAGCCGTCGAGGGCCGACGGGTCGTCGGCGAGCCGCGTCGACTCGCCGCAGAGGGCGCACGCGCCCGCGCCGCCGGCGGCCGCGGGCGCCGCCGCGGCGCCGAGCTCCGCGAGGAACGCGGCCCCGGCCGGCGCGGCCGCCGCGGCCGCCGCCGGCGGCGCGCGGCCCGCGACGAGGCACTTGAGCAGCGTCTTCTCCGCGAACGGGTACGCCATGACCGGGTCCTCGGCCCAGCGGACCATCCACTTGCCCTTGGCGTCGGGCCCGTCCTCGACGACGCCGTGCCACTTGTTCTTCCCGTAGCCCGCGAACTTCTTCTCCACGAGGCACCCGATGGACAGGCACGTCGGCACGCCGTCCTCGCGCGGCGGCGGCGGCGCGGCCGCGGGCGGCGCGGCCGCGGGCGGCGCGGCCGCGGCGGGCGGCGCGGCCGGCGGCGCGGCGGGCGCTGCAGGCGGCGGCATCGCGGCGGCGGGCGGCATCGCGGCAGCGGGCGGCGCCATCGCGGCAGCGGGCGGCGCCATTGCGGCGGCGGGCGGCGCCAACGCGGCGGCGGGCGGCGGCATCGCGGCGGCGGGCGGCGCCATTGCGGCGGCGGGCGGCGCGGCGGGCGGCACGGCGGGCGGCGCGGCGGGCGGCGCTGCGTCCTCACGCGGCGGCATCGCCGGGATCGGCTGGGCCAGCACGTCGGGCAGCGCCGCGGGAGCCGGTGAAGCCTCGGGCGCCGGCGCCGGCGAAGCGTCGGGCGCGGGGGGCGGCGACGCGTCGGGCAGCGCCGCGGGAGCCGGCGAAGCGTCGGGCGCCGGCGCCGGCGAAGCGTCGGGCGCCGGCGCCGGCGCGTCACGCGCGGGCGCCGGCTCCTCCGGCGGCGCCGCCGCCACGGCGGGCGGCGCGGCCTCGTCGCGCGACGGCGACGGCGGCGGCATCGCGCGCGGCGCCGGCGCGGGCGCGGCGCGCGGCGGCGCGGGAGCCGCCGGAGTCGCCGGAGTCGCCGCGGCGTCGGGCGCCGGCGCCGGCTCCTCGGGCGCCGCCGGCGCCGCGGCGAGCGCCGGCGCCGGCGCGTCGGGCGGTGCCGATGCCACGTCGGGCGCCGCCGGCGTCGCGGCGGGCGGCGCGGCGTCGTCGCGCGGCGGCGCCATCGACGAAGACGCCGGCGGCGCGTCGGGCGGCGGCGGCGTCGCGGCCGCGGACGGCGGCGGTTCGCCCGCGGACGACAGTGCTTCGTTGGGCGCGTCGGACATCGCTCCGCTGGGCGGATCTCCGGCCGGAGGTGGCCCGGGGCTGGACGTCTCGATATTCATACGAGCTCCATCATCGAGCCTCCTCGACGAGAGGAGCTCGCCTGACTGGGCGCCGGGGGTCGCCCGTCGCCATCGCACGCGTGGACGCAGCCCAGCGCCAAACGCGCGCCGAGGCGAGATTACTACTACCCGCCGCCCCCCTCGCGCTTGATCGCGTCGCCGAGGATGTCGTTCTGCCGCAGCGCGTTGCCGTCGCGGAGCGCCTCGAACTGGACGCGCTTCTCCCAGGAGACGTCGACCTCGGCGGAGGACTCCGTGAGCTCGTGCGCCGCCGGCGCCGCCGCCGCCGGCGGCGGCGGGTTCTCGAGCTCCCACTCGTCGAGGAAGGATTCCCGCCGCGCCGGCGAAAATCCCGCGAGCGCGTCCACGCTCGCGCCGACGGCCGCCGCCCAGCGCTCCGCGCGCCGGTCCAGCTCCGTCGCCTTCTTCGCCGCCGCGCTCGGCGCGCCTTCCTTCCTTCGGAACTCTTTCCACTCATCCATCGTTTTCGGTGCGCGCGCGCGCGGCGCCGCGACGCGGCGAAGGCCGACGGCGCGCGGCCGCAGCGCCGCGGCGCCGACGCAGAGCACGAAGAAGATGGCTACGGCGCGATGCATGGCTACGGCAGCGGCGCAGCGCCGACGAGCACCGACGCGCCCAGGCGCGCAAGTCCTGCGACCACGCGGCGCACCACAGATGAGCACCACCCTGCGCTCTCCAGAGAGAGCACCCCCCTGCGCTCTCCGCAGAGAGCTCAGGCCGCACCACCCTGCGCTCTCCGAGAGCTCAGGCCGATATTGAACATGCGCATCATGGCAGCCCCAGCGCCGCGCCGCGGAGAGCGCCCCGCCCCGCCGTCATGGTCGGCCTCGACGCCGCCGTGCGCGCGCACCGCTTCGGCGCGTCGGGCCGGCTGACGCACAGCCACAGCGAGTCGTCGTTCTACGGCAGCAACTACTACGCCGCGCTGCCCGGCCCGGGCCGCTACGAGACGAACGCTTCCACCCTCGACGCCCTGAAGCCGCTGTCGAAGACGCGCGTCAGCGACTGGCCGCGGCGCTACCGCAACTGCCGGCCGCTCCAGGGGTCCCAGGCGACGGCGAGCATGAGCGGCGTCGACTCGCTGCTGGAGGTGCCGAGCCCCGCGCCGGGCTCGTACCGGGACCCCGACTCGACGTTCGGCCCCGCCGTCGCGCGGCGCAACTACTGGAACGCGAACTTCGCGTCGAAGACGGCGCGCTTCCCGCCGACGCGCCGCGCCGACGACACGATCACGCGCCACCTCGGCGAGCGCGAGCACCGCGGCTTCCACCGGTCGCCGCCGCCGCGGCACGAGAGCGCGACGTTCCCAACTTCAAAGGCTCCGATCTCGGCCGTGTTCCACTCGTTTCGGCTGATTTTTGGACGAGCGATCATCTCTCGGCACGGTCTCGACGCGTGGATGCTTTTTCCGGAACGCGCGCGCGCGGAACACTCACGTTGAAGCGACGTCGAATCACCCTCGCGCCGCCCAGGTCGCTGCCGCCGCGGCACCGGCACCGGAACCTCGGCCAGCCGCCCGGGGGCCCGCCGGTCAACGTCTACGCGCTCGAGGGCGACCCGGCGGAGCTGCCCCTGGAGCAGCCGAGCTACCTCACGGGCGACGGCGGCGTCTCGTTCGAAGAGGGCGGGCAGTACTACGCGCGCGACGACGACGGCGACCCGGGCCCGCCGCGGATGACGTGGGTCACGCCGCGGCGCGCGCCGCCGCCCTTCCCGCTCCCGGCGAGCGAGCCCCGCGCGAAGACGGCGGCCGTGCTGCTCAAGCACAAGGGCGAGCTCTCCGAGTTCAAGGACGACGTCCGCGCGGTGCGGCGCCTCGAGGCGTTCAAGCTGCCCCGCGGCGAGTTCCGCGTCTAGGACGTAACGCCCGCGCCGGCGTATCCCGCCGGCGGGATGCGTGAAAGCGCGGGCGCGAGCCGAAGCCCGACGGATCCAGAGCCGGGACCTCCCGCGTCCCCGGGCGTCGACCGGCGGCCCGGAGCGGCAACCGCGATGGCAGTGTGTCGAACACGGATCTCAAGAGCCCAGTGCCGCTCCAGCCGGAGGCTGCGAGGGGCGCCCGGGTAGGTTGCCTCGTACGTAGTCGGCGGCCTTGCGCCGCCGGCAAGCTCGGTTCGCCGAGGTATCCCGCGACCTCCCCTGGATTATTACCGTGATGCGTCTCTAAACGTAGGAGGAACCGCAGGCGGACAGCGGGCGCCGAGGGGTGTGGCGCGCGGGGCAGTTCAGGCGACGATGATGCGGCGCCGGATACCCCTAGATTGCACGTTCATTGCACTATCTTTCGAGGTCGAAGTTTGAGCTCAACGCACGCAATCGTCTCCTCCTGCGTCCAAATATCCCCGGATTGGCTCCCGCGAGCACGCCCCTTCCTCTTCGCCGCGCGAGCCATGTACTTGGTAAAAAAATCGTTCGAAAACGACGAGCGAAAACGTGGAAACGAAAACTGGATCGAGTTCGTCGTTTCGATCTTTCACGCCCGCCCCGTGTCGACCCCCCCACCCCTCACCCGCAACCCCCCCCCCCCCACACACACAAACACACGGCCTCCCACCTCGTGGCCCGGCGGCGGCGTGGTCCCTGAGCGCGACGTTGACGACGTCGAGTCGTCGACCTCGGGTATCCAAGTGAGGCGCGCCGGGACCCGCTCCGCTACGTCTTCGAGTCCTCGGTGCACGTCAAGCGCATGCAAGCCCGGCCTCCCACCTCGTGGCCCGCCGGCGGCGTGGTCCGCGGCGGGCACCTCGACGACGGCGAAGAGCGACTCGCTCTCGCGCGGCGCGGCCGGCGGCCGGCGCGCCGGGAGCCGCTCCGCTACGTCTTCGAGTCCTCGGTGCACGCCAAGCGCATGCAAGCCCGGCCTCCCACCTCGTGGCCCGCCGGCGGCGTGGTCCGCGGCGGGCACCTCGACGACGCGGAAGAGCGACTCGGCGCGTCCGGCGGCCGGCGCGACACGGACCCGCTCCGCTTCGTCTTCGAGTCCTCGGTGCACGCCAAGCGCATCCAAGCTCGGCCTCCCACCTCGCGGCCCGCCGGCGGCGTGGTCCGCGGCGGGCACCTCGACGACGCGGAAGAGCGACTCGGCGCGTCCGGCGGCGCGTCCGGCGGCGGCGCGCCGGGACCCGCTCCGCTTCGTCTTCGAGTCCTCGGTGCACGCCAAGCGCATCCAAGCCCGGCCGCCGACGTCGCGGCCCACCGGCGGCGTGGTCCGCGGCGGGCACCTCGACGACGCGGAAGAGCGACTCGGCGCGTCCGGCGGCGCGTCCGGCGGCGGCGCGCCGGGACCCGCTCCGCTACGTCTTCGAGTCCTCGGTGCACGCCAAGCGCATGCAAGCCCGGCCACCCACCTCGCGGCCCGCCGGCGGCGTGGTCCGCGGCGGGCACCTCGACGACGGCGAAGAGCGACTCGCTCTCGCGCGGCGCGGCCGGCGGCCGGCGCGCCGGGAGCCGCTCCGCTACGTCTTCGAGTCCTCGGTGCACGCCAAGCGCATGCAAGCCCGGCCTCCCACCTCGCGGCCCGCCGGCGGCGTGGTCCGCGGCGGGCACCTCGACGACGCGGAAGAGCGACTCGCTCTTGCGCGGCGCGGCCGGCGGCCGGCGCGCCGGGACCCGCTCCGCTTCGTCTTCGAGTCCTCGGTGCACGCCAAGCGGCGGCGTGGTCCGCGGCGGGCACCTCGACGACGCGGAAGATCGACTCGCTCTTCCGCGGCGCGTCCGGCGGCCGGCGCGACACGGACCCGCTCCGCTTCGTCTTCGAGTCCTCGGTGCACGCCAAGCGCATCCAAGCTCGGCCTCCCACCTCGCGGCCCGCCGGCGGCGTGGTCCGCGGCGGGCACCTCGACGACGCGGAAGAGCGACTCGGCGCGTCCGGCGGCGCGTCCGGCGGCGGCGCGCCGGGACCCGCTCCGCTACGTCTTCGAGTCCTCGGTGCACGCCAAGCGCATGCAAGCCCGGCCTCCCACCTCGCGGCCCGCCGGCGGCGTGGTCCACGGCGGGCACCTCGACGACGCGGAAGAGCGAGGCGCTCTTCCGCGGCGCGTCCGGCGGCCGGCGCGACACGGACCCGCTCCGCTTCGTCTTCGGGTCCTCGGCGCACGTCAAGCGCATGCAAGCCTGGCCAACCGACCCGTCGGCGACCCCCGCCCACCCACTCCCCCGCCCACCTTCACATCGGATCGTTCACCGCCCCTGCGATTCTTGGAGAGCGCTCGCCGCTTAGCGCCGCGACCCGCTCGCTCGAGATCGCCCGGGCCGTCGGCGGACGCCAAGTGCGTCCGCGCACGCCCTCCCCCCCCCGGTTGCCCGATCGTGGGAGGGAGGAAGCGTTTCGGCGGGCCTCGCGGTCGCGCCTCGAGCCCCGGCCTCAGATCGCGTTCGCGCTCTCGATCACGCGCTCGCTCGTAGGCGTCAGACATGAAGACTCCGCGTCGCCTGGGCGTCATTGTCTTGCTTCTATTTCCAATCACTGGGGCCGGCGAGCTTTCGCAGGCGCGAAAACAAAAGCTGGAGCATGAAGAGGTGAGAATGTACCAAGTTTGCGGTAAAGAACTGAATTCATCAAAACCTTTGGCTGCGCCGGGGGGACGTTCCGCAGAAGATTTGTTTTTCCTGCATGAACCAGTCAGCTTTGCCCCTGTTATTCAATGCCTTGAGGGCGCGATTTTGTCGAGAGGCGCTCGTCATTTTGATGACATCTTGGAGCCGGAACATGCAGGAGCTCTTGCAGACTACCACCTATATCCGCAGTGGTCTGTGCATAAAAGGCGAACTACTGATTTGTCCAAGGCGAAGTTGCACGTTCTCAATGCTCCGATTTTCGCATCATATGTCGCTACGTCGAATTTTCCGGAGTGCCGGAATGCGGGAAACAAGACGCATTTTCAGCGCGTCGTGGCAGTCACGAACGCTATCGAAGAAATTTTAGCGAGCGTGCCCAGCGATGCCTACATTCTCTTTGTATATGCATACTGGAGCGTCTGGCAGATCGGAAGGAGACCCCCTGGTTTTGATCCGATCTGGGGTTCATCTAATCGATTTAGAGACTTAAGGCAAGCAATTGCTCGACATGCGGATCGTTTTGTGATTGCGACCACTGATATGGACTATCGTGCCGGCTTTACGGCAGACTTTGCCTTCCACGATTGCGCGCGTCTTAACCACGGGATGAAGAACAACCCTTTCAGCTCCAAAACCCTGCGAGCAGTTGTCCTGCCCTACGTTGCGAACGGGTGGCTTGAACGCCAAGCGCACCTTCGAATCTCAACCTGCGACGTCGAACTCTCCAAAGCAACGAGGAATGTTTCGGTCATCTTTCATGGCAGCACAGCACGAAGAGGTCGTGGTAGTTTTCGAAGCGTGGTAGTTCAAGGCGTCAAGAGGAGAATCGGCGATTCCGCGGACGTGCAAGATAATTCTGTACAGACTATGGAGCGTCAGATGGCTCTGTCAGCCACTAAGATGACCGCCAAGTCCATGCTGAAATCGCGCTTTTGTCTATCGCCAGAAGGTGATACTTTGACCAGCCGACGACCATATGACGCTCTTGCCGCCGGGTGCATTCCCATCTTGTTTGGCACAAAACTTGGAGACCTTCCATTCTGGGACACTGGATACACGAAGATCTTTGTAATCGCTGGCGAACTGCAGTGCTGTGCTTCCCATCAGAGAACATTCAATGAGTGGATTGCGGAGGTAATTCAAGACTATGACGCTTCTCTGTCCTGTTTGGCAACGGCTATTTTCCGTGAAACTTTATCTTACAGGAATGGTGCCGTCGTGGACAACCTGGTTGACGTGCTTGCGTCGCCATTTCAACACCGCTGGATCAGGCTTGTAAAGCCGATGGACCGCCCGGAGAACCAAACAACTGGCGAGAAGGCGCCGAAACTGTGCGCGAGATCCGCCTACATGTTCTTCAGCTCCGCGATGCGGCCCAAGCTCAAGAAGGACGGCGACTCCATCGGCGACGTCGCGAAGAAGATCGGTGTTGAGTGGGGCAAGCTCTCCGACAAGGAGAAGGCGTACTGGAAGCAGGCCCACGCGGACAAGGTCCGCGCCCAGAAGGAGCTGGCCAAGTACAAGGCCAAGAAGTAGGCGCGCGGCGACCACCGCGCGCGAGGTCGAAGGCGCGCCGCCGCCTCCCTCGCCAAGCACCAAGAATACCGCTCCCGGGCGGAGTCGCGCGGAGAAGTAAAGACACCGTCGCTCGATGTTTCAGTTCGGGGCCCCGAGGCTCCGGAGCGCTCCGACAACAGAGCGTGCGAGTCAACCCCACAACCTTCCGCTTACTGCTCACGCGTCCGGCGGCGGCGGCGGCGATACCGCCGCCGCCTCCTCCTCCGACCCGTCGTCGGGCTCGTCGAGGCCTGTCCGCCGACTTCGAGGGCGGCGACGTGAGCGTCGTCGTCGACGGGAAGAAGACGAAGACCTGGTCGGCGAAGAAGGGCAAGAAGCCGCCCGCGGCGGGGGGCAAGCGCAAGCGCGAGGCGCCCGCGCGGTCGGCGCCGTCCGCGCGATGAACGGTGTCGCATGCCTCCTCGTCGTGCTCGGTACGCAGTCGCCGCGGTCGTCCCTCCGCGCTCTCCCCGCGAGAGCGCTCCCCATTTCCACGGACATACTCCCAGCCGCGCTCCTCGAGCTCAACCCGCCGCCGCCGCGCTTCTCTACCGAGGCCGGTTGCGGCCGCCGCGGGCTTCCTTCCCAGGCCCGCGGCAAGAGTCCCCTCGGGCAAGCAAACCCGACGTAAGACAATTACGCCAAGAGTCGGGGGAGCCGCGCGCCACGGACCAGGCGAGGTCGCCGATCGCCTGACGCGGCCGCCGGCGCGCCGCGCCGGCGGGATACGCGAGACTCGACCGTCGCGCTCCGTTCCGCGCGAAGCCCGAGCCGGGGCCCGGCCGTGCTTCCGGTGGGGCGGGGCGTGGCGGAGCTTCCCGACGGCGAGTCGGACGGCGTCGTCGACGTCGACGTCGCCGTCGCCGTCCGCGACCGAGGCGCCCGCCGGGTTTTTTTCGCGCGCTTCGCTAGGATCTTCGGCGCGCCGGCGGGACGCGCGAGCAACCGCGGCCGTCGACGCGACGCCGCGGTCCGGGCGACGCGCCGCGCCGCGCCGCGCCCGCCGCGACGGCGGGACCGAGCGCATTCGAACGGTCCAAAAATTAGCCGAATCCGTCGCGATCGCGGCGAGCGGCCGAGCGCGCCGGTCCCGCGCGTCCGCGGGCACCACAGCGCGACGTTCCCGCGCCTCCCGCGCCGCCGCGATCACCGGCGGGTTCGGCCCGAGTCGGGGCCGCTTCGGGACCCTTCGCCGCCGCGGGACGGCCCCTAGCGGGCCCGGTGGCGCGCCTTGGCGAGGAGCGCCTTGCGCTCGGCCGCGCAGCGGCCGCACGCGCAGTCGAAGCCGTAGTGGTCCCTGAGGATCTTCCGCCGCTCCGCGTGGGGGAGCCGCTCGTCGACGTAGGAGATCGTGAGCTCGTCGCCGGCCGCCAGGTCGCATAGCGCCGTCAGCGCGACCATGCCCGCGGCGTCGACGCGCGCGGCGCAGTTCGGCGCGCAGTCGTGGTTCGCCTGCGCCGGAACCCGCCGCTCGCTCGGCCGCGTCGACGTCGCTCCGGCCGAGCGTCGGACGGATCGATGGCTCTCGGCGCGCGCTCGACGCCCGGCCGACAAAGCTCGTGCCGCGACGGTCGCGGAGGCTCGCGGTGAAGTCGGGCGGAGGCGTCGAGCGCCGCGCGTCGCGAAGCCGACGTGCGCCGAGAGCGCGCAGCCCGCCGCGCGGCCGTCGCGGGATATCCGCGCCGCGTTGCTGTGGATCTGGCCCACGAGCCGGTGGACGTCGTCGAGGGGGACGCCCGACGCCGCCGCGAGGCTCCTCGCGTCGCGGTCGCCGAGGCATCTGGTCCGCGGCGCGACGAGCGTCCCGATCCACGAGAGCGGCTCCTTGGCGCCGACGCACCAGTCGCCGTGCCGTTTCGCCGCCGCGTAGCGCAGGAGCAGCCGCAGGGGCGCGCTGTCGCCCGCGAGCGCGGCGTCGTCCCGGGCGACGTTCGCGAGCGCAGCGCACTCGCCCGACCGGTGCCAGTCCCCGAGCCCCCGCGTCGCGCAGTCCGCGCAGACGGCGAACGTCGCGCAGCCGGCGCAGGGCGCGACGTGGGGCCGCCGCGCGACGAGAAACGAGGCGCCCTCGGCGAGCGCCAGCGCCTCCTCGAGGGCGCCCGCGGCGCCGGCGCCGCGCGGCAGCGGCACGCCGCCGACGGACTCGACCTGGGCGGAGATGCGACGCCGCTTCGACGCGAGTGTTCCGGAAAACGCATCCACGCGTCGAGGCCGTTCCGGGAGATGATCGCTCGTCCAAAAATCAGCCGAAACGAGTGGAACACGGCCGAGAGAGGAGCCTTGGAAAACTTTTGGGCACGTCGCGCCCTTTTCCCGCCCCGGACTCGACGACGTCGCCGCGCGCGAGGCCGTGCGCGGCCTCGGCGACGACGGCGGCGATTCGGCCGTCGCCGCCGCGGCACGCGTCCCGCGCCTCGTCGACGGCGCGGACCTCGCCGCCGCGGGGGATCGCGGCCTCGACGCGTTTGGGACCGTTCCAGCCCGAGTCCGCGTTGGCCGCGAAGCAGAAGCCGCAGAGGTCTCGCGCGTCGCCGTCGAAGACGACGGAGAGCGCGGGGACGGCGCGCACGGCGCGGTCGCCGACGTCGACGGCCTCGGCCGCGAAGAGGCCCCGGCCCTTGGCGCCGGCGTCGCCGCGGACCGTGTGGTTCTCGAAGGTCGGCGCGTCCGGCGGTGGGGGCTTGTTCGCTTTAGTCGCCTTCTGCTTCGCCTTCTTCGCCTTGTTCTTCGCGCGCTTTTTGGCCGCCGCCGCGGCGTCGGCGTCCGGTGGAGCGGCGAGTCCATCGACCTGGGATGCCATCCTCGCGCTTGCACGACGTTGCCATCGGCACCGTGACGGCGCGCGAAACTTGCCGAGGGCTGCCGCTCTCCCGCGAAGCGCGCCGACAAGAAGCTCTGAAAAGCTGCTGGCGGCAGGTGCGAGTGCTCTTGCGCCCATGCGGGTCGGTGCGCTCCTCGCGTGCCCGCTGGCCGCGGCCCTGGCGCCCTGCGGCGGGAGCAACGTCGCCCTCGTGACGCCCATGGTCGCCGGCAGCAACGCCGTCGACTACGGCGCCCTGCGGTCCCTCCTCGAGTGGCACGTCGAGTGCGGCACGGCGGGCGTCGTCGCGCTGGGCACGACGGGCGAGGCGTCGACGCTCAGCGGCGAGGAGCGCGACGAGGTGCTGCGCACGGCCGTCGACGTCTGCGGCGGCGTCGTGCCCGTCGTCGCCGGCACCGGCACGATCGACACGGAGCGCGCGATCGCCATGGGCCGCCGCGCCGCGGAGCTCGGCGCCGACGGCACGCTCGTCGTGACGCCCTACTACGTGAAGCCGCCGCAGGCCGCCCTCGTGGCCCACTTCAACGCCATCGCCGACGCCGTCGACCTGCCGATGATCCTCTACAACGTGCCCGGCCGCACGGGCGTCGACCTGCTGCCGGCGACGGTGGCCGAGCTCGCGCGCCACGACCGCATCGTCGGCATCAAGGAGGCCACGGGCGACAACGCGCGCGTCGCCGTGCTCCGGGAGCAGTGCGGCGACGACTTTTTGCTCTACAGCGGCGAGGACGCGATGGGCCGCGAGTTCGTCGCGCTCGGCGGCGACGGCGTCATCTCCGTGACGGCGAACGTCGCGCCGCGCGACATGCAGACCATGCTCGCGAACCCGAACAAGTCGAGCTCCATCAAGATCGACGCGAAGCTCCGGGCCCTCCACGAGAAGCTCTTCGTCCAGGCGAACCCGATCCCCGTCAAGTGGGCGCTCCACCGCGCGGGCCGCATGGGCGCGGGCATCCGGTCCCCGCTCGCCGCGCTCGAGCCCCAGTTCCACGAGGACATCGACGACGCGCTCCGGCTCGCCGACGTCGACGTCGCGCCCGCGGCCGAGCAGGACGCGGGCGCGAACGGCGTGGCGGCGCCGCCGGCCCGGGCGGTCTCGGGCGCGAGCGCCTAAAAAAGGACGCTCCCGCGCTAGTGAGACGTTACCGCCTTCCGAGGACGAGCTCGAAGGTCGGCTGGCCCGCGGCGGCGTACTTGGCCTCGAAGGCCGTGAGCGCGTCCGCCGGCCGCGGCGCCGCGAGGGCCGCGGGCCCGGCGGCGCCGGCGGCGAGGAGCCGCGCCGCGGCGCCGTCGCCCGCGGCCGCGGCGGCGCGCGTCGCGGCGAGGAACTCGTCGAGGTACGTGCGCCACGACGCGCGCAACGTGAGCCGGCCGCCCGCGGCGGCGAGGAGCGACGGGAGGCACGGGTGGCCGTGGAAGCGCTTCTTGAGGTGGCCCGGCTTCGGGTAGGGGTTCGGGTAGAGCAGGTACGTCTCCGCGACGGCCACGTCCGCCGCGGCGCAGAGCCGCCAAAAGTCCGCGAGCTCCGCGCGCAGCAAGAACGCGTTGTCCGGCAGCGGCGCGCGGCCGCGGCCGAGGCGGTCCGCGGACCGGTCCACGCCGACGACGAGCGCGTCCGGGTGCCTCGCCGCGAGCGCGGCCGTCGACACGCCCGTCCCGCAGCCGGCGTCGACGACGACCTCGGGCCGGCCCGCGGCGGCGGCGAGGAAGGCGTCGAAGGCCGCCGCCGTGTGCCGCGCCACGGGCTTCGCCGCCAGCCAGTCGCCGTGGCGCGCGACGTGCCGCGCCGCGAGCGCGCCGACGGCCTCGACGTCCACGGGCCGCTCGTCGATGGCGTAGGGCGAGGCGTCGTCGAGTCGTGTGCCGGCGGCAAACGCGCGGCGCGCGAGGCGTCGCGCGGGGCGGAGCGCCAGGGCCCACGTCGCCGGGCACGCGAGCATGGCCAACACCATGCGCATCGGGAGCTTCACGAGCGCTGCGCAGGTACCGGCCTCTACCACTCAGTCTACCTAGCCTTTCCACAGGGCTGAAAATTTTGTATTTGGCGAAGCTGTGATGCAGTGAAGCCGACATTTCCCCTCCAGCTCCGAAATACGGGGCAGCCCACCGATGCCTGGCCTCTGAAGGTCCGCCCTTTTCTGGCAGTGCCGCCGGCGTCCGCCCCGTTCCCGAAGGTGCGCCGGCATGGCCGACGCCGGCGGCCTCTTCGGCCTGCTGTCCATCTTCAAGAACGAGGCCCACATCATGGCCGAGTGGATCGACCACTACGTCGCCGAGGGCGTCGACAAGTTCTATTTGATCGACAACGGCTCCACGGACGACTACATGCCCATCCTCACGCCCCACATCGTATCCGGCCTCGTCGTGCTCGTGAAGGATGCCAAGCGCCACGCGCAGGTCGAGCACTACAACAAGCACTTCCACTCCATAATAACAAAGGAGTGCGCGTGGGTCATGACCGTGGACTTCGACGAGTTCTTGTACGCGCGCAAACCGCACGCGACGACCAAGGCCTACCTGGCGACGCTGCCGGCCGCCATCCACCAGGTCCGCGTGCCCTGGAAGATGTTCGGCTCGAGCGGCCACGTCGCGCAGCCGCCGTCGGCCGCCGAGGGCTTCACGATGCGCCAGTCCTACGCGTCGCCCGTGCTCAAGCACTGCAAGTCCATCGCGCGCGCGGCGAACATCGGCCAGCTCAACACGCACGAGGTCTACTTCAACGAGGAGTGGGTCTGGCACCACCGCGTCTGCCGCGTCGCCGACGCGCTCCCCTGCCTCTACAAGCTCTCCCTCCTCGCGCGGCTCTACATCAAGCGCGCCCACGTCGCGGGCCACGACGTGCTGCCGGACATGTCGGCGCCGTCCTACGGCCTCACCTACCCGCAGCAGGCGCTCACGGAGACCCTGCTCGAGAACAGCGCGCTCCACTGCAACCACTACTTCATCCAGTCGAAGCAGTGGTACGGCGACGTCAAGATGACGCGCGGCGACGTCACCATCAAGTCCGCGGACCACGCCTACCGGACCTGGTGGTTCTTCGACCAGAACGACTTCAAGGACGTCGTCGACACGGAGCTCAAGGACAAGGCCGCCGCGCGGCGCGCCAAGGCCGCCCAGTGAGCACCGCCCGTAAGCGCGCGGATCTTTGGCGCTCCCCGCGCGGCGGCAGGTTACTCGCCCTGCGCGGCCGAGGCGACCGCGGCCGGCGCCGCGGCGGCGGCCGCCGCGAGCTCCGGGCGGAGCGCGTCGAGCACCTGGAGCGGCGCGTAGTCGAGGTAGCCGTCGCTCATCTTGAAGACGGCGACGAGCTCGCGGCTCCGGCGCCGGCACACACACGCCGGCCGCCGCGGGCCGAGGAAGACGCGCTCGCGGCCCGCGGCGAGCTCCGCGGCGGCGGGCCCGCGCGCGCCGCGCGCCCGGAGCTCCGCGGCGACGAGAGCCGCGAGTTCTCCAAAGTCGAAGCCCAGGATGCGCTTCGTCAGCACGAGCGCCGCGCCGTCGGCGACGGCGGCCGCGACGACGGCGAGCGCGGGCTCGGCCGCGCCGACGCCGTCGACGTGCTGGCCCCGGGCGACGCCCGGCGACTGGACGTAGCCCAACGGGAAGACGAAGCGCGCGAGGTCCAGGACGACGGCGGCGTCGCCCGCGGCGACGCGGAGCGACAGCGTCGGCCGCGCGTTCCACGCCTCGAGGACGAGGAGTGCGTTGTCGACGGTTCTGACGTGCGGAAAGGCCGCGTTGCCGGCTTCGTCGACGTCGCCGACCGCGGCGCTCCGCCGGCCGAGGCCGTAGGGCACGGCCGACGCCGTCACGAAGGCCGCCGACGCGGCGAGCCGCGGGCACAGCTTCTGGGCCAAAAGCGCGCCGCCCATGGCCGACGCGCCGCGCGCCGCCGGTGCCTCCTCGCCCCAGGCGTCCGCCGCGGAGGGCGCCGGGTCTTTCGGCGGCGGCCACCCGTTGACGACGGCGAGCTGGCGCCGCGTGAAGAACGCGCCCGTCGCCGTGGCGATGGGCGCGTCGACGGCGACGGGCTCCACGGGCGCGGCGACGGGCGCGACCTGCGGTCGGCGGGGGCGCTCGGCGCGCGAAGGGCGGCGGACGCCGCTTGTACTCGGTCCTCGGGGACGACGCGCGGCATGGAGCCGGCGACGTCGGCGGCGGCGCGCGCCGGCGGCGGCGGGAGCGGCAATTCGTCGTCGTCGTCGCAGGCGTCGAGCGCCGCCCGGGCGGCGAAGGCCGCCACCGGCGACTCGACGACGGACGGGCTCCGCGGCCGCCGCATCGGCGACAGCGACCGCAGCGGCGACAGCGACCGCCGCCGCGCCGGCGACAGCGACCGCCGCGGCGCGCGCATCGTGGCGCAGGCGAGGCTTGTGTGTTTAAGCGACCATGGACGCGCGCGGGGCAGCGTCGAATGTGGTGCATCCGAGCACCATGCCCCTTTCTCGAAAGAGGCGATGTTGAAGGGCTCGCAGAGCCGCCTCGTCGAGCTGCTCTCCGCTTTGCACCGGCGCCGGCACACCAGCGCGCCGCGCGACCGCCGCGCGCACGGTTCCAGAACCTCGTTGACGCACACGATGGCCGCACCCGGCGTGGAAGTGCCCGGCGAGCTCGTCGCCTTCGCCGGCGAGCTCGCCGACGCCGCGGGCGCCGTCATCCTGAAATACTGGCGCAAACCGATCGAGGTCGTGAGCAAGATCGACGCCGGGCGGCCCGTCGCCGAGTCTCCCGTGACCGCCGCGGACCGCGGCGCCGAGGAGGCCATGCGCGCGCTCATCGCCGCGCGCTACCCGGCGCACGCCGTCGTCGGCGAAGAGTGCGGCGCGACGGGCGACCCGGAGACCGCCGAGTGGACCTGGGTCCTGGACCCCGTCGACGGCACGAAGTCGTTCATCACGGGCAAGCCGCTCTTCGGCACGTTAATCGCGCTCCTCCGCTTCAAGGAGCCGGCCCTCGGCGTCGTCGACCAGTGCGTGTTGCGGGAGCGCTGGGTCGGCGCCAACGGCGCGACGACCCTCAACGGCGCGCCCGCGCGCGCCGCGCGCGCGCCCGAGGTGCCCCTCGGCGAGGCCATGGTCTACGCGACGACGCCCGAGATGTTCGCGCCGGGGTTCGAGGCCCGCGCCTTCGCGGGTTTGCGAAGCCGCGTCAAGCGCACGCTCTACGGCTGCGACTGCTACGCCTACGCGCTCTGCGCGTCGGGCTTCGTCGGTTTGGTCTGCGAGGCGGACCTGCAGCCCTACGACTACCTCGCGCTCGTGCCCGTCGTCGCGGGCGCCGGGGGCAAAATCACGGACTGGCGCGGCGCGCCCCTCGGCTGGGGCGACGCCAGCGGGGGGCGCGTGCTCGCGGCGGCGACGCCGAAGCTCCACGCGGCCGCGCTCGCCGCGCTCGCGAAGCCCCCGCGCGACGACCGGGTCCTCGTCTTCGCCGCGGGCGCGGCCCTCGGCGCGCTGCTCGGCGCCCTCGCCGCCCGCGCGCGGCGCTAAGAGAAGTCGTAGCCGCGCATCTTGTTGCCGCCGTCGCGGCTGGCGTCCGTCTGGGAATCCTAGCGGCGCCCGGCGGCGCCGCGGCCGCGGCGGCACTCGGCTTGCAACCCCTTGAGGTCTCCCTTGGTCTGCAAGACCGGCCTGCGACTCGAGTGGAGGTCGCAATGGGAGCTCGTCTTTAGGGCCTGCAGCGCCGCGCGTCGAATTGGTGGTCATGGCTGACCCGGCGAGCATTTCTGCGCACGTTCGCGCCCTCGCAAGACCGCAGACGGCGCAGCGGGCCGCGGGAGCGCTTGTCGACCTTTCGGCGGAGGTGGCCAACCGCGACGCCCTCGCCAAGGCCGGCGCCATCCCGCCGCTGATCAGCCTGCTGCGCGATGGTAGTGATGGCGCCAAGTCGTATGCCGCCGCAGCGCTCGGTAACATCGCTTTGACCGACGGCTACAAAGTCGTGATCGCCGAGGCCGGGGCGATCCCGCCGCTGATTTCTCTCGTGCGCGCGGGGAGCGCCAGCGCGCAGGCGCAAGCCGCGGGAGCGCTGCGCACCCTCAGTCTTAACGAGGACAACAAGCTGGCTATGGAATCGGCCGGCGCGATTCCGCCGCTCGTTGCGCTCGTCAAGAACGGCAACGATGCCGGCAAGCGCCTCGGCGCTTCGGCATTATGGAGCCTCTCACTGTTGAATACTCTCAGAGTGGCCATTCACGAGGAAGGCGGACTCGCGGTGCTCCTGGCCGTTTTGCGCGACGGGAGCAAAAACGCGAAGCACGAGGCGCTCGGGGCCCTGTGTAATCTCTCCAGGAACGAGGAATGCAAGGTCACCCTCGCGACGACCGGCGCGATCTTGGCGCTCATCACTGTCTTACGCGACGGTACCAACAATGAGAGTGCCGCCGGGACACTCTGGCACCTCGCGGCGAAGGACGACTATAAGGCCGACATTGCGGCGGCCGGCGGCATTCCGCTCCTTTGCGATCTCTTGAGCGACGAGCACGATATGACGAAGATGAACGCCGCGGGAGCTTTATGGGAGTTATCAGGAAACGACGAGAACAAAATTGCCATAAACCGGGCGGGCGGAATCCCTCCACTTGTCGCCCTCCTGGGCAACGGACGCGACATCGCCAGGATTCGCGCCGCGGGAGCGCTCTGGAATCTAGCCGTGAATGACGAGAACAAGGTTGTGATCCACCAGGCCGGTGGCATCCCTCCACTCGTTACTCTGCTGAGCGTCAGCGGTTCCGGCAGCGAGAAGGCGGCCGGGGCGCTGGCGAACCTCGCGCGGAACTCCACGGCCGCGGTCGCTATCGTCGAGGCCGGCGGCATTTCTGCTCTGGTTGCTGTCATGAGCCCGGACAACAGCCGCGTAACCAGGGAGAAGGCGTTGGGCGCGCTGCTGAACCTCCTTGTACATAAACCGGCGGACCGCGCGGACCGAATCGCAATGCTCGAGGCCGGCGCGATTCCGTCGTTCGTCGCCCTGCTACGCGACGGCAACGACGACGTGCAGCACGATGCGGCAGGGGCACTGTGGACAATTAGCATTGGTGAAGCAGATGTCAAAGCCGCTTGCGTCGAGGCTGGCGCCCTTCCACTTCTCGTCGCTGTTCTACGCGACGGTGTCGCCGGCTGCAAATTCTTGAAGAACGCCTGCGGGGCGCTGAACATCATGCTCTTGCACAGCGACGACGTCGTAGACTCCGTCGTGGCGCTCGGTGCGCTTCCACTGATTGTTGCAATGATAGGCGACGGTAGCGCTGTCAGCTCGGATCCGGCAGTGGCTGCCTTACGAACCACGTCCTCGATCGAAAAGCATCGGGTCGAGATCGTCGAAGCGGGCTGCATTCCGCCGCTGCTCGCCGTTCTGAGCGCCGGTAGCCTTTATGCCAAGGAGAATGCCGCCGCTGCGCTACGGAATATCTCCATAAAAGATGAAAACAGGATATGTATGGCCAAAGCTGGCGCCATTCCGCCGCTGGTCGCCTGTCTGAGCGACGCTTCCGATGACATCCAGGAGAACGCCGCGGCCGCGCTGGCGAATCTTGCATTGAAGGGCGAAGAAAGGCAAATCGCCATCGCTAAAGCCGGGGGCATCGCTCCACTCGTCGCGCTCAAACGGGACGGCAGCGCCACGGCCAAGTGGATAGCTTCCAAGGCGCTGGCGAACCTCACGGAGAACAACGTCGACAACAAAGCCGCCGTCGCGGCGGCGCGGGCCGCAGCGGAGATCGCCGCCTACAAGGCGAAGACCCTCGCGCTCGAGCAGCGCATCGTCGACCTCGAGCGCTCGCTCGAGGAGCGGACCGCGCGCGACGACCGCCTTCGGCTCAGCCGGGACGAGCTCCAGGCGCGGATCGGCGAGTTTTCGCGCGTTTTGAACCGCCCCAACGTCCACGGCGTCCTGGCGCGCGCCGAGGCCGGTGCCGTGCTTTCCGACCTCCGCGACGAGGCCGCGGAGCTCAAGGCGACCCTCGAAGACGCGACGAGTTGTGTGGTTTGTTTCGGCGCTCCGCGTTCCGTCGTCCTGCTCCCGTGCACGCACGCGTGCCTCTGCCCCGCCTGCGCCGCGAAGCTCGAGGCGTGCCCCGCGTGCAGCGCGCCCATCGCGAGCCGGAGCGACTTTATACTGTGGTAGCGTTAGGCCTTCGAGCCGCGCATCATGGCCTTGGTCCGCTCCATGGCGCCGTGCGTCGTGACCGCGTCGAGCGTGCGCTCCGCGACGATGCGCTCGAGGTCGACGCGGTCGTCGCGGGCCCGCCGGTCGAGCGCGGCGAGGATGTCGCGGACGATGTCGCCCTTGGCCTCCTCGAGGAGCTTCCGCGCGCCGTCGGCCGCGGCGCGCGCGCGCGCCGCGGCGTCCGCGTCGTCCGCGTCGCCGGCGCCGAGAGCCGACGCCGGCGAGAAGCCGCCCCCAACGCGCGCCGCGACGACGGGCGGCAGCGGGTCCGCGGGCGACCGGGGCGCGGCCGCGGGCGGGTCGCGCGACGTCGGCCCCGCGGGCTCGCCGGCGAGCAAACCCTCGCGCTGCCGGAGCCACCGCCGCGCCCAGACCTTGAGCCGGAACGCCGCGAGGGCCTCGTTGCCCGGCACCCTCGGCCGCAGCTCCGCGAGCACGGCGTCGACGGCCGCGAGCGCGGCCGCGACGTCGCCCGCCGACGGCGCGCCGTCGCCGTCGAGCTCCGGGACGACGCGCGTCCGCCGCTGCCAGGGGAAGCACGTCGCCTCCCGGGCCTCGGCGCACTTCGGCCGCTTCACGCCCGTCAGGTTCGACCGCTTCCGCAGCCGGTCCAGCGTCGCCGCGTACTGGCGCTCCGCCAAGACGCGGAATCGCGCGGCGACGACGGGCTCCTCGCCCGCGACGTCCGCGAAGGTCGCCTGGGGCATCAAGAGCAGCTCCGACGCGTCCATGGCGCGCACGCTGAAGGGGTGGACGGCCGCGCGCGGCGCGAAGAGCACGTACTCCGCGAAGAACTCCGCGCGCGCGAACGACCGCACGAGCAGCTCCGGTTCGACGTCGAGCGCGGCCGCGGCGGCCGCCGGGATGGCCACGGACGCCTCGAGCGCGCCCGACGCGACGACGTAGAAGTGGTTCCCCGCGTCGCCGGCCTCGACGACGCACTGGCCGGGCACCGTGAACGAGTGCTCGAACTTGAGGCACAGCTTCGCGGCGGCGTTCCGCGGCATCCCCCGCAACGAGGGCACGCAGTCGAGCACGGACGCGTTGCAGTACAGGACGACCTCGTTGCGCATGAAGGCCGGCAGCTCCAGGAGAATCTCCCGCTCGTCCCAGACCGACGTCTTCTGCCAAGAATACGAAAAGTGGCTCCGGATCTGCGCCTTGAGCTCCGGCGGCAGGCCCCGGTGCTTCATGTACGCGTTGATGGACTCGATGCGGTCCTTGATCATGCGCGACGACGCCTCCTCCTTCGTGAGCATGGACGCGACGTCGCCCATGACGTAGCCCAGGATGCAGGTCCCCGCGAACTGGACGACGACCGTGACGGCCATCTCCGCGCGAGAGACCGGCAGCACGTCGCCGTAGCCGACGGTGGTTAGGGTGGTGAAGGCCCAGTACATGGCCACGCAGTAGAGCTCCATGGGCGCCGGGAAGGCCCGGAAGTAGTGGCGGTGGCCGTGGTCGTCGTGGTGGTCGTCGACGGCCGGCTCGTCCTCGCCGTGGCGCACGGCCTCGCCGCCGTTGAAGTAGTCCGCGACCCACGTCGACTTGGACCAGCCCCGCGTCGTGCCCTGGGCCGCGTAGGCGAAGGCGCAGGCCGCGTAGTGCGCCGTGAAGAAGACGCCCAAAAGCAGCGACGTGAAGCGCCTCAAATCCTTGATGACCTTCACCGCGGGGTCGTCGTCCCACTCGTTGAGCGAGCTCGCGAGCTTGAGCACCTTGAAGACCTTGAGCATGCGCGAGAACTTGAAGAGGCGCATGAGCTTCGTGAGCCGGCTCGTCGCGCCGAGGTGGAGGCCGCTGTTCGCGAGCGCCAGCAGGTGGTTCACGGGGATGGAGCTGACCAAATCGACCGCGGCCCAGCCCCGCGCGTACTGCTTGACGATGCGCCGGTGGTCCTTGACGACCGTGCCGTGGTCGTCGACGTAGCCCGTGTTGAAGTTGAGAAAAAAGTCCGCGAGGAAGACGACGTCGAAGGCGAGGTTCAGCAGCTCCATGCGGTCCATGGGCCGCAGGTCCGCGCGGATGAAGCAGAGCTGGTAGGGCGTCACGAGCAGGCACGCGAAGAGGACGACGGACGTGACGACGTCCCAGCGGATGCGGAAGGCGCCCAGCGGGTGGATGACGCCCACGTGGCTGTTGAGCCACGCGAAGAGCGCGACCTCGGACGTCGAGCCCGACGGCTCGTCGTAGGGCGCGATGACCTTGAGCATCGCGTCGGCGCCGGCGCCCTTCTCCGGCGGCGCCGGCTTGCTCGACGAGCCCCACTTCGTGAGGCGCAGCATGTTCCCCGCGCTCACCTCGCGCTCGTGGCGCCGGAGCATGTCGATGCGCCGCTTCTCGGCCGCGGCGGTCTTCACGGAGCGGCCGCTCGCCGACATGGCCTCGTGCAGCGCGGCGCGGTCGCCGTCGTGGCCGTCGCGCGTCATGGCGACCGGGACCGGCGGCGCGGTCGGGGGGGGGCTGCCCGGCGGGCGCGGGGGGCTGCCCAGACGCCGGACAACCGGTCCAGGATCCCTTCGGACGGCGGCCTGCAACTTGTCCTACAAAGAAGTTTCCAAGCGCAACCGCGGCGCCGCTTACGCCGCCGCGCGGTGCTGGGGGATGGGCGAGCTCGTCGACGCGACGCCGCCCGGCGCCGCCTCGGGCCAGCCGGCGTCGCCGAGCATCTTCGAGAGCGCGTGGAACGTGTCGATGCCGTTGCCGTTGCCGTGCATGGCCGCGGGCGCCGCGCCGGAGACGCGCGACCGGAGCGCCGCGGCGCCGCCGTCGTCGACGAGCGCGTAGTCGTCGACCGTCGTGTCGTGGAGCGTCTGGAAGAGGGCCGCCGTCGTGTCGAGGTGCACGCGGCCCGGGTGCGCGAGGTGGAAGCGGTGGAACCAGCGCTGGTCGTCGAAGCGGAAGGGGTCCGCGCCGAAGGCGACGTGGTGCGCGTTCGACGTCCGCGGCGACGGCGTCGAGCATCGCGCGGACGTCGCGGACGCGGCCGAGGTAGACGCCCGAGTTGAGGAAGTGGAAGGGCTCGCCCGGCGCGAGGCGCGGGTAGGCGAGGCGCAGCGCGGCGTCGGGCGCGCACGCGAGCTCCGAGTTGAAGACGACCGCGCCGGGCGCGTCGACTTCCAGCGCCGCGAACTTGGCCGGCAGGTCCCGCGCGGGCGGCAATAGCAGCACGTCGTAGGCGTCCAGGAAGAGGAGCAGGTCGCCGTCGCGGATGTTCCGGTCGGGGTCGGCGAGGTAGGCCCGGAGGAAATCGACCTTGGACCCCAGGCCGCGCCACGGCTCTCCCAGGCCGAGCACCTCGAGCGTCGCGCCGACGCGCCGCGCGGACGCCGCGAGGCGGTCGAGCTCGAGGCGGCGGCTCGACGACACGGACACGACGCGCAGCGCCCCCGTCGCCTCGCAGACGCCCGCGGCGCGCGCGCCCGCGCCGAGCGCCGTGGCCCGCGCGAGCGACGCCTCGACGACGGTCCGCGCCTCGTCTAAGAGCGGCGCCGGGTCGCCGCGCCGCACCTTGACGGGGTGGAGCGCCTGGTGGTGCGCCACGAGCGTGTTGCCCAGGACGTGGCTCAGCGCGGCGAAGTCGGGCCGCGCGGCGACGGCGGGTCGTAAAAGCGCGAGCGCGCGCTCGTGGAGGTCCGCGCGCTGCTCCATGACGAACTTGAAGGTCACCTCGACCTTCTCCGAGTAGTTGCGCCCGTCGACGAAGCCCGCGACGTCCCAGTGCGCCCCGTCGCCGCGGCCCTCGAGCTCCTCGACCATCTGCTCGAAGCGGAGGAACATCTCCGCGGAGTCGTAGTTCTTCGCCAAGGTGCCGTCGCTCGGGTCCAGCGCCTTGGCGGCCTGGAAGTAGGCCAGCGCCTCGGCGTAGCGGCCCCGCTGGGCGAAGAGGCTGCCGAGGTTGCTGCGGTAGCGCGCGGCGGCCGGGTCGAGCGACACGGCGGCCTCGTACGCCGCTTTAGCTTCGCCGAACTCGTCGAGGCGGAAGTGGGCGTTGCCGACGTAGGCGTGGTTCTCGGCGTTGGTCGGGTCCGCGTCGACGGCCCGCCGGAACCAGGCCAGGGCCTCGCGCATGCGCGCGACCTCGGCCGCGTCGTCGCCCATGTTGGACCCCTTGTCGCGCTGGTGCGTCAGCCGCACGCGGTCCTGCTTCGCGTAGGCCGCGAGGCCCCGCGCGCGGTAGGCCGCGTCGGGCGGACCCTCGTCGGCCGACGCGGCGGACGCCGCCGCGGCGAGGGCGAGGCCGACGAGCAGCCCGGCCATGCCTGCGGGCTTTTTCAACCGACACGCTGCCCTTCAAGGTTGCCCCGCGCGCCGTGCTCCGAGTCGCTAAGTTGCTCGCTCGCGCGACTCTAGCCGACCTCGGGCCAACCTCAGTAGAAGGAGCGCGTCTTACGTGTCGGGGACGTCGTCGTAGGCGCCGTAGGTCTTCGTCGCGACCTGGCGGGGGAACTCGGGCCGCGGCGGCGCGTCCTCCGGCCGCCGCGCCGCGCGCGCCGCGCGCTCCGCGGCGAGGTCCTCCGCGAGCGTCGCGGCCTCGCGCCGCGCCTCCGCAAAGTCCGCGCGCGTCAGGCGCCCGCCCTCGGCCCCGCTGCGCAGGGCCGCGTGCTCGACGGCCGCGGCGACGAACTGCGAGAGGTCCGCGCCCGAGAAGCCGGCCGTGTCCCCGGCGACGAAGTCGAGGTCGGTCGCGTCGGCCACATCGCCCGCCAGGTTCTCGACGAGCTCGCGCCGGTCGTCGAGGTCCGGCAGCGCCACGGCGATCTCGTAGTCGAAGCGGCCGTACTGCAGCAAGGCGCGGTCCACGGCCTTGGGCCGGTTGCACGCGGCCAACACGACGACCCCCAGCCGGTCCGCGTGCTCGTCGCTCTCGCGGCGCTCCTTCTTCCATCGTCCGAGATCGTCGAAGTTGACGCAGAGGCCCGTCACGAGCGACGCGCCGACCTTGCCCTCGGCCGTGTCGCGCCGGGGGAAGAGCGTGTCGAACTCGTCGATGAAGATCAACGCGGGCGCGTGGCGCATCGCGGCCTTGAAGACGGACGCGACGACGCGCTCGCTCTCGCCCATCTTCGCCGAGACGACGTTCGCGGGCGTGAGCTCGAAGAGCGTCGCGTCGGCCTCCGTCGCCGCGGCGCGCACGAGCATGGTCTTGCCGACGCCCGGCGGCCCGTGCAGGAGCACGCCGCTCGGCGCCTCGATCTTGAAGCGCCGCATGGCCGCCGCGTGCGTCCGCGGCCAGACGACGCAGCGCGTGATGGCCTTCTTCGCGGCCTTGAGGCCCGCGACGTCGCCGAAGCGCACCTTGCGGTCCACGCTCATGGAGAGCGCGTTTGTGACCTTGGACTTGGACCGGAGCTCCGCGACCGTCACCTCGAGCGGCACCTTCCGCCACTTGGCCGCCGCGACGGCCGACGACAGCTCCGCGCCCCCCAGGCCGACGCTCGCGTCCCCCGCGAGCGCGTCCGCGTCGCCGTCCAGAGTCGGCTCGCGGTCGAGCGCCCACCGGAGGTAGCGCCGCCGCGCGCGCTCGTTCCAGACGTCGTGCGCCTCCATGTCGAAGCGGTAGTCCCAGGTGCCCGTCGTGAAGAGGCGGTCGTGGATCGCCTTCTCCGACTTGGCCGTCGCGATCAACGCCAGGGCCTTGAAGTAGGGCTCGCGCATGCACGCGTTCGCGGACTCGTAGTCCTCCGGGCCCTCGTTGAGTAAGATGGGCTGGAGCGGGTCCGGGTCGTGGATGAGGTAGATGAACTTGGCCAGGGTCCGCCGGAGGCCCTCGCCGACGTCGCCGGCGTTCGCGTTGTCGCGGGGGCACCACGCGTCGAGGTCGTCGAGCACGACGACGACGGGCCGGCACTCGGACGCCGCGAACGCGACCTCGAGCTCGAGGTCCAATGCCCTGACGGCGTCGGACCCGTGCGCGGCGAGGTGGGCGCCGCAGTGGAGCCAGAAGACGGCGTGGGGGTTGCCCTCGGCGGCCTCGAGGGCGCAGCACGCCGCGAGCGTCGACTTGCCGACGCACGGCTCGCCGAGGACCAGGAACGTCTTCAAGGGGCGCGCGCGGACCGCGAAGTCGACGGCCTCGGTCCGCACGTCGCCGGGCCAGCCCCGGGCGAAGTAGGCCTGCATGGCCGTGAGCGGGCCGAGGCCCACGAGGGGCTCGAAGACGCGGAGCCGCGCCTGGGCGTCCTCGAGGTCGCAGCCGCCCGTCAACGCGTCGAACTGGCCGTCGACGGCCGGCGCCCGGCGCACGACGACGCGCGTGAACTCGCCGACGACGCCGAGGCCGCGCTCCCGGTCCCAGTGCCGCTCGCGGCCGAAGCCGAAGCACGCGGCCACGGTGAGCGGGTCTCCCGTCGCCGTCCAGTTCGGCGCGAGCTGCCCCGCGCGGACGACGGCGCCGCGGAGGTGGCCCCTCACGGCGCGGCTCCTCGGCACCCGGTCCCAGGGGGCCTCGACGATCACGCACTGCCAGCTCGGCCACTCCGCGCCGCGCCGGTACGCGACGTCGAGCGCCGCGGCGGCCGGCGCCGGCGGCGACCCCGCGCACAAAACGAGCCGCGCGCCGCCGCCGAGGCCGACGACGCGGATCGCGGCGACGAGGCCCGTCAATGCATCGATGGGCGCCCCGTCTAACGTCGCGGCGCCGAGCACCTCGACGAAGCCCTCGAAGTGGAGGCCTCGGGCGACGGCGGCGTCGACGCCGAGCTCCAACGTCGCGTTCGCGCGCTTGGCGACGCGCGCGACGGACACGTCGACGACGAGCGCGCCGTCGTCCGCCGCCTCCTCCTCGTCGTCGGCGGGCGCCGCCGCCGCCGGCTTCTTCTTCTTCTTTTTTTTTTTTTTGCCGGAGGTCGGCGGCAGCGGCGGCGCGGCGCCGTCGGCGGCGGCGGCGGATTCGGCCGTCGCGGCGCCGCTCGCGTCGGCGGTCGCTGGCGGCGTCGGCGGCGCGGTCGCGGCCGTCTCGTCGTCGGAGGAGGAGGAGTCCGGCTGCGCGGCTGTCGCGGCGTCCATGCTGCCTCGCTTTGCCACAGGCCGGTTGTGTCGCCGCACAGTGCCGGCAATGCTAGTAATGCCGTGCTGCGAAGCGACTACGTCACTGCTCACACGAGCTGCTACCACCGTCGTTCGTCGCTCCTCGCACCGCGCGCGCCACTCCATCCACTTGCGCAACAAAAACGACAACCACCATGGCCGCGCGCCGCAGCAGCCTCGCGCGCGCCGCGGACAAGACGGAGGACGTCATCTCCCGGGCCTGCGCCGTCGTGGCGACCTTCGCGTCGCGCAAGCCCTGGCGCACCGTGGGCCTCTGCCTCTTCCTGAGCGCGGTGCTCGCGAGCGGCTTCTCCCAGATCAAGAACGAGGCGCGGCCCGACAAATTGTACGTGCCCGCGTACATGAAATCCCAGGAGGACCGGGCGTGGATCGACGACCGCTTCGGCTCCGCCGACGTCGTTTCCTCCGTGCTCCTGGACCACCGCGGCGACGCGAATCTCCTCACGAAAGCCGCGCTCCGCGACGCCTTCGACGTCTACGAGGACGTGCTGGCCATCTCGGCCGAGGACGGCGCGACGGGCTACGACGCCCGTAGCTGCGCGGTCGGCGGTTGGAACGGCCTCTGCCAGAAGTCGTCGATCCTCGCGTTCTGGAACTACAGCCGGGCCGCGCTCGAGGACGATCCGGACGTGCTGGCCACGGTGAACCGCCCCGCGCCGGACTGCTGCTCGCCCGTGGGCCGGGACGCGTCGCTCTTTAGAGTGGCGGCGAAGTTGCGCTACGACGACGCCGGCGCGGTGACCTACGCGGGGTCGCTCAAGTTCGACTTCTACCTGGACAACGACGCCCACGAGAAGACGAACGTCGACCCCCACGCCCAGCGCCTCGAGCGCAAGTTCAACGAGAAGCTGCGGAGGGCGTCCTACGAGTCCTTCGACCGGCCCATGCCTTTGAACGCCGCGGGCGCGGCGGAGAACGTCGACGGCGCCTTCGATTATGATCGCACCTTCGTGAACCTGGCGTCCATCGTCATCTTCTGCTACGCCTACTGGGCCCTCTACGATCGGAGGGACCCCTTCAAGAGCCGGGGCTGGCTGGGGGTGGCCGCGGCCGTCGTCGTGCTCGTCGCGGTGCTCGCGGCCTTCGGGCTGGCGCTCTACTGCGGCGCCATCTTCTCGGCGACGGCGTCCATCGCCGTGTTCCTCGTGCTGGGCATCGGCCTCGACGACGCGTTCGTCATCTGCGGCGCGGAGTTGGTGCATTTCGGGGACTTCCACGACGACGTCGACAGAATCGCGGAGGGTTCGGCGACGGTCGACGACGTCGCGGCGCGGCGCGTCGAGCGGGCCATGGCCGCGGCGGGGCCGTCGATCACGGTGACGTCCGTGACGGACTTCTGCGCTTTTGTGGCCGGGTCGTTCACGGCGATCCCGGCGATCTCGTCGTTCTGCGCGTTCTGCGCCGCGGCCGTGGCCGTCGACTTTCTCCTTCAGGTGAGCCTGTTCGTCGCCATCTTCTCCCTGGACCTGCGCCGCAAGCTGCGCCGCGCCGTCGCGGAGCGCGCGAGCGGCGACCGCGCGCGGTGCTGCGAGAGATGCTGCGTGAAGGAGGCGCCGCCGCCGGACCGCGAGCCCGAGCGCGCGAACTGCTACGGCGGGAGTTACGCGGACGCGCTCCTATCGAAGCCGGGGAAGGCCTTCGTGCTGCTCGCGACGCTCGGGTTGGCGGGCCTCGGCGCGAGCGGCGCGGCGTTGACGGAAGCCAACTACCAGTACGACTGGTTCCTGGTCAGGGGCTGGTACCTCACGAACTACGACTACAACATGGAGCACTACGGCGACAGCGGCGTCACCTGGGTCGGCCTCTACACGGAGCACGCGGACTACTACGAGAACCGGCAGACGATGGCCGACCTGTTGGAGGCCTACGGCAACCTGCGCTTCGTGGCGAGCACGTCGCTCGAGTCGAACTGGTTCTCGGCGCACGAGGCCTGGGCGGCCGGCGAGGCGTCGACGTTCAGCGACGGCACGTCCTACTGCTACTCGGTCCGCGACTTCCTCGCCACGGCCGACGGCTCCGACTACGCGGAGAACGTCGTCTTAGACGTGTCCGACGACACCTGCGAGATCACGGCGACGCGCGTCGACACGCTCTGGAACGAGGACGAGGACGACCAGTCGACCATCATACGCAACCGGCGCATGGTCAAGGCGCGGCAGACGGCGCGCACCTACGGCCGGCCCCTCGGCCCGCCCAAGGTCTGGAACTTCGCGTTCATCTTCGGCGAGGGCGTAAGGCTCGTCTACGCGGAGACGCTGTTCTCCATGGTCATCGCCTGCGTCACCGTGGCCGTCATCCTCGTCTTCCTCCTGGGCGACGTGCGCGCCGCGGCGATGGTGTCGTCGATGGTCGTCATGGTCTGCGTCATCACCTACGGGTCCATCTACTGGTACGGCGACGGCCTGAACAACGTGTCGGCCTTCTTCGTCGTCATCGCCGTGGGCCTCGCCACGGACGCGTCGGCCCACTACTGCCACGCGTTCCAGGGCTCGGAGAAGGCGGACCCGGACGACCGCGCGCGCGACGCGCTCCGCAAGCTCGGGCCGTCCGTCTTCAAGGGCGGCGCGTCGACGGTGCTCGGCATCTCCATGTGCGGCTTCTGCAAGACCTACGTCTTCCGCACCTTCTTCAACTACCTCATCACGATCCTCCTCCTCGCGCTCTGGTTCGGCCTCGCGACGATGCCCGTGCTCTGCTCCCTCGTCGCGCCCGCGCCGCGCCACCGGGCGGAGGCCGCCGAGAAGCCCGCCGGGCCCGCGAAGCTCGCGCCCGACGACGCCAAGGGCGACGTCGCGGACGCCGCCGTCGTCGAGGACGCCGACGCGCCCCTGGCCCTCGCCGGCTAGCGGGCGCGGGTCCAAAAAAGTGTAATTACCAAGCTTCCTGCCTAGAGCTCGGCCTAGTACGCGACCGCGACGCCGGGGGACGGCGCCCACGTCGGCTCGGACGGGGGCGAGTAGTTGATGTTGTCCCGGGGGTCGACGAGCGAGGGCTGCGCCTCCTCCGGCACTTCGGGGCTCTTCCAGACCTCGCGGGCGACGATGCCCGCGTCGCAGGACTCCTTGAGGACGTAGTTGTTGGCGAGGCGCCAGCCCCAGTCGGCGCGCCGCGAGGCCTCGAGCGGCGCGTGGAACGAGGCGAACTTCGCGAGCTTGATGCCGTCGTTCTTGTCGCGGCGCCAGGTCGCGACGCCGCCGGGGGCGATGAACTCCTCCACCGGGTCGCCGGGCAGGTGGGAGTAGAACGAGTCCGTGTAGTAGCCCTCGGCCTCGGAAAAGAAGGTCCGCGGCGCGGCGTCGTCGAGGGAGAACCGCGCGAACGTGTGGCCCGCCGTGGCCCGGGCCTGCGCCATGGCGGCGTCGGAGAGCTGGCACGACGCCGCCAATCGAGGGGCCACGAACGCGTCGCCGAAGCACACGAACCAGGGGATCCTCGCGAGCTCGTCGTCCGCGATGCGCGTCCGCGCCGCGTCCAGGAGCGAGAGCCTGTAGGATGCGCGCCAGTCGAGGCGCTCCAGGCGCTCGTGCGCTCCGATCCACGGGTCGGCGCCGTCCCAGTCGTACGCGACGCGCGCCGCCGCGCCGCGCGCGACGGGCGCGCCGCGCGCCACGATCGCGTCGTCGCGCACGGCGGCCGAGAGCGGGCGCGTCCGCCCCTCAAAGTTCAGCTTCCCGCGCCAGAGGTCGTGGCACAGGGGCCGCCACAGCGCGTCGGTGCCGCCGAGGTCGCGCCAGTGCTTCGCGACGCCGCACGCCGCGACGACGGCGTCCGCCGAAGCAAAGGACAGAATCTTGAGCGCGAGCTCGTGCGGGAGCTGCGACACCACGTCCGTCGTCCCCTGCTTGTCGCGAAGCGTCTGCTTTGCCCTCCGCGTCTGCACCATCTCCTTCGGAGTTCTCCGGAGAGAGCACACGAGAGAGCGCTGCACAGCGCACAGCGCTGTGGCGAAACCACGCCAATATATGTCGTCACCGTCGGCTTCTTGCCTTCTTGCGATTATTACGACCACCACGACCTCCACCCCGCCCGACAACGCCGCGCCGGGAACGCGCGAACCCCTCGAAAAAAGAAACAGGAACCTAGGGCGACCGACGGCCCCGTCACCGGAGCGCGGTCCGGCTCGGGCTCGCGCCCAGGGACGCCAGGGACCCGGAGCGGCTCATGGTCCCGCCGAGGCTCAGCTCGCTCGCGCTGTGCGTGAGGGACATCTCGCGCCCGAAGTCGTTGTACCAGGGCGGCGGGTCCTCGACGGGCTTGGGCTCGAAGGCCTTCACCTTCAGCGAGACGATCGCGCCGTCCGGCACGTCGAAGCCGAGAAGAGTGGTCTCGTCGTCCTCGAGGACGACGCGCTTCAGGCCGCCCGTCTCCTCGTCCTCCTGCTTCACGGAGAGCACCTGGCGCCCCGGGTCGAGGGACGTGCGCCCCGCGCGCGTGCGGCAGAGGGCCTGGACGGCGCGCTTCAGCTTCACCAGCTTCCACGTGGGCTCCACGGTGAGGCTCACGCGCGTCGACGACAGCGTCGGCGCCAGGCACAGGGGCTTGTGCCACGTCTCGATGATGACCTTCATCCGGGATGGCCCGGGGTCGGGCGGCGCCCCGCACGAGCCGCGCGGGCAGCCAGCGCTAAATCGATTGTTGAATTCAGCATCCTCCGTTGCTTTGATGAGACGGTGCCGCCGCCACCGCAGCAGAGCTCGAGTGCCACCGCCTGCGTCGTCGTCGGCGTCGCTGCCACCACCTCACAGGTCACAAGTCGCTGCCACCACCTCGCGCGTCGCAAGCCACACGCACACATCGCAAGCCACACGCGCGCACCGCACGCAATGCTGCCGGCCATCCACGTCCCGACGTCCGCCGCGGGCCTCGGCATCGCCGCGGTGCAGTGCCTCAACCTCGCGTCGTGCTTCAACGAGGCAAGTTCGCCCGCGCCCTACAGCAAGTTCGCGGCCGCGGTGCCGGAGAAGCAGGCGCTCGTGTCGAGCCGCACGGGCATGTTCGTCATCTACGCGCCCGCCCTGGTCGTCTCGTCGATCGCGCTCGCGACGGCACCCGCGGCGAACGGCCGCGAGGCGCTCGTCGCGGCCCTGCTCGCGGCCCACATGCTCAAGCGCTGCCTCGAGGTCGCCTTCGTCCACGCCTACTCGGGTCGGGTGGCGCTGTCGCTGTCGTGCGCGATCGGCTCGTTCTACGCGCTCGTCTGTTTGTTGATCACGGCGACGCAGCGCGGCGTGCCCCACTACGCCGGCGCGCCCGTCGCCGCTCTCTGCCTCTACGCCGTCGGCGAGCTCGGCAACCTCTACCACCACGTGCTCCTCGCGAAGCAGCGCGCAGGGCAGCAAAAGAGAGCGAAATTCCCAACTTCAAAGGCTCCTATCTCGGCCGTTTTCCACTCGTTTTGGCTGATTTTTGGACGAGCGATCATCTCTCGGAACGGTCTCGAAGCGCGGATGCTTTTTCCGGAACGCGCGCGCGCGGAACACTCACGTTGAAGCGACGTTGAATCACCCTTTTGCTGCCCAGGCAGCGCGGCGGCTCGTCCGACTACGTCGTCCCGACCGGCGCGGGCTTCGACCTGTGCACCATGCCCCACTACCTCTTCGAGATCGTCGCCTGGCTCGGCGTCGCCGCCGCGGCGGGCCAGCTCAACGCCTACCTCGTCGCGCTCGGCATGGCGTCCTACCTCGGCGGCCGCGCCGTGGCGACGACGCGGTGGTACGAGGCCAAGTTCGGCGCCAAGTGGCCCAAGGGCCGCGCCCACCTCGTCCCCGGGGTCTTCTAGGCGAGGTCCGTACGCGACGACCCTGGTGTCTTAGCGCGAAGCGCGAACCGCGGCGGCGGGCGCCGCGCGAACCGCGCGCTCCCGCGTCCCGCCGTCTACTGCGCGCCGGGCACCTCCTGGGTGACGCGGCGCTCGAGGGTGTTGTAGTTGAGGAGCTTCTCGATGAGGTCGACGTGCGTGAGCACCATTCTCCGGCAGCAGTAGCGCTTGAGGCCGAGCTCGTCGAGCGCGTCGCCTTCCGAGTAGTCCGCTTTGAGCAGCTCGAGGTAGGACTCCCACTTGTTGCCGATGACCTGCGTCGGGGGCGGGTCGCCTTCGGCGGCGGCGGGGCGGCGCGCGGCGAAACGGGGAGGGAGGTGCACCATCGCCGGCGGCGCGAGCGCCGCCGACGCGCGCGGGGGGAGCTTCGGGCGGGGCGGCGCGCACCTTGCCGCACGTGAAGCAGCGCACGGGGATGATCATCGCGTCGGGTCGGTTCGAGCGAGCGGGCGCGGTCGAGGCGCGGCGACGGCAAGCGGCGACAGAGCTCGATTGGCCGGCCGAGCTCGAGCCCGAGCGGTCCGCCAGCAGCTGGGGCCGCTCTCAGGATTTTGCGAGGACAGCTCAGGATTTTGTGGCATCGCCCGCGTCGCCGCCCGCCACCGCCATGCTGAACTATTTTTTCGGCACGAAGTCCAACTCGGACGCCGAGCAGATCCCCGACCACATCGGGGAAGCTCCCGCCGCCGCCCCCGCTTTCGAAATCGTGCCCGGTTCGCCGCTTTCGAAGCTCGACGCCGCCGAAGCGCAAAAGGTCTCTCGCGAAGCCTTCGCTGCGACCGAGGCCCCCCGCGCCGAGTCCGGCGACGAACTCGAGGACGGCGACGAGGGCGCCGAAGAGGGTGACGAAGACCCACATGTCTACGCGTCCGCGGAGAAGAGCGAGGACTTCTTCCGCGTGTGCGGTCCGACGAAGTCGATCGCCGCGGGCCAAGCCCCGCGCAACCTCGACTTCTCTACCCCCTCCGAGGACCGCACGCCAGCCAACCGGCAGGTCCCCTTCGACAAGTACTGCGGCGCGTGCCCCGCGGATCCCGACGACGCGTACGCGTCACCGGGGCTCGAAGCGATTCTACGAAAGAGCCGGGTCGACGGCGAGGGCTGGACGCCGGTCAAGAAGGACGCGAAGACCATGTCCGAGAAGGAGAAGCGCGCGTTCGATCGACCGGGTGTGGAATACTTCACCTGGGTCTGCTTGGGCAAGTGCTACGACCCGCCGTGCAGCGCCAAGATCCGCGCGTACCGGACGACGGACAACGTCCTGCACGTATACGAGGGTCGAGGCCACACGCACCCGCCCGCGGACGTGCGGCTGACGCACCGTCAATCAGGCCTCGCGCCCCAGGTCAAGCTCGCGCTCGAGCCACTGGCCGCGCACGTCAAATACGATGAGCGACTCATGCTTCGCGTGCTCAAAGACGCGGGCATCGAGCCCAACTTCAAAGATCACGGTCAAGCGCTCAAAAAAGCCTTGAAGCGCTACGTCATGTACCTCCAGCGCGACACACGACGGGCGTATTGGGCTGGGACCTACCAGGAGCTAGCCGCGTGGCTCCACGGCCATGTCTTGAACCTGGGAGACGTTGATGAGCTGATCCAGCGCGCCGCGCTGGATCAGCGACTCATGCACAAGACGTTCGTGCTGGGTCCGCCGCGGATCGGCGGCGTCGGCGACGAGACCTTCGTCGTTTTTTCCACGCTGAGTGATTTGCTGAAGGCGGTGAAGAATAGACATTGGGTGGGCATTGACGGGACCGGACGACTCAACTATCACGGCAAGGTCGTCGTCGTCGTTTCTACTGTCGACAAGCGGCAACATGGGCACCCAATCGGTTACTTCATGCTTAGCCGCGGAGAAGCCGAAGCCGAGGTTTTGGCCGGCCTGGAGCGGCTCCGCGATTTCATCAAGGAGGCCACGAAGGCGACGCTGCCGCCAGGTTTGGTGATGGAGGGCGAATCCCAGGAGGGGTGGTTCCAAACCTGGGACCCCATCGTGACCATGAGAGACGGCGCGCTGGGGTTCAAGGCCGCGTTCCGCAACTTCCACAAAAGCATTAAAGCCTAGTACCCCTAAACTCGGACGAGCCCGTGGTGAAGGCGGCGGCGTCGTCGCGCGCGCCGGTAGCCGCGGACGCCGTCGAGCCTCTGCGGCGTCCTGGCCATGCCGCCGCTGGGCAGGAAGGTCGCGCGCGCCGCCTGGGTCGGGGACCGCGCCCTGGAACGCAAGGACTCCCTCGCGGGGCCCCTGAACACGCAGGAGTAGCTCGTCAAGCCGGCGGCGGCGTTCCTCGAGAACGCGTCGGAGACGCCGTCGAGCCTCTGCGGCGTCCTGGCCATGCCGCCGCTGGGCAGGAAGGTCGCGCGCGCCGCCTGGGTCGGGGACCGCGCCCTGGAACGCAAGGACTCCCTCGCGGGGCCCCTGAACACGCAGGAGTAGCTCGTCAAGCCGGCGGCGGCGTTCCTCGAGAACGCGTCGGAGACGCCGTCGAGCCTCTGCGGCGTCCTGGCCATGCCGCCGCTGGGCAGGAAGGTCGCGCGCGCCGCCTGGGTCGGGGACCACGCCCTGGAACGCAAGGATTCCCTCGCGGGGCCCCTGAACACGCAGGAGTAGCTCGTCAAGCCGGCGGCGGCGTTCCTCGAGAAGGCGGCGCCGACGAAGTCGAGGTTCTGCGGCGTCCTGGCCATGCCGCCGCTGGGCAGGAAGGTCTCGCGCGCCGCCTGGGTCGGGGACCGCGCCCTGGAACGCAAGGACTCCCTCGCGGGCCCCCTGAACACGCAGGAGTAGCTCGTCAAGCCGGCGGCGGCGTTCCTCGAGAACGCGTCGGAGACGCCGTCGAGCCTCTGCGGCGTCCTGGCCATGCCGCCGCTGGGCAGGAAGGTCGCGCGCGCCGCCTGGGTCGGGGACCGCGCCCTGGAACGCAAGGACTCCCTCGCGGGGCCCCTGAACACGCAGGAGTAGCTCGTCAAGCCGGCGGCGGCGTTCCTCGAGAACGCGTCGGAGACGCCGTCGAGCCTCTGCGGCGTCCTGGCCATGCCGCCGCTGGGCAGGAAGGTCGCGCGCGCCGCCTGACGACGACGACGCGTCGCCCGTCGCGAGCCCGACGAACGGTGCGAGCCGGCGGTCGACCTCCGTCGTCCAGGCCTCCTTGTCGTTCGTGTCGAGCGCGCGGAGCATGTCGACGTAGGTCGCGTCGGAGATGAACGCGACGGGCGGCGCCGCGAGGTCCGGCTTGACGCCGATGATGAGGAGCATGGACGTGAGGTGGGTCCCCGAGGTGAGCATGTCGTAGGAGACCTCGACGCCCTTGAGGAGCTGCACCGAGCTCAGGACCGCCGTCGCGTCCTTCGCCAGCTTCGTCTGCGGCGTCGACGGCGGCGCGTCGTACGCGAACTCCGCGTTGAGCTGGCTCTTGTCCTGCACGTAGGCGAAGATGTCCGAGAGGAAGGCGAGGACGGGTTTCATCGTATATTCCGTGCACTGCTCCTTGAGCGTCTTGTTGGAGGCCTCGAGCGTGTTCGTGTCATTGGGGAAGCCCGGCGGCAGCTCCGCGCGCGTCCACGCGCCGTTCTCCAAGTACTCTGAAGAAAACCATTTCATCACCTCGCCCTCGCCGAGGTCCGTGTAGCGCTGCGTGAGCGCTTCGAAGACGGAGTTTAAAGCGTGGTGGAAGACGCCGCTGATCTTCGACACGAAAAACACGTCGTTGTGGAGCTGCTGTCGCAGCTTCTTGTTCTTGAACATCTTTTTGTGCTTATCCAGCGCCATCAAGACGTGCGACTTGCAGCGGCCGTCGATCGGCGGCAGATTCGGCGTGGCCTGGTATGTGTCGGGTTTTTGGCCAGTCAAGCGCAGGTGGACCAGCGACGATGCCATCGCACCCACAAAATCCTGTGGCGAGCTGGCCTCTCGGACAAATGCCACAAAATCCTCCAGCGGGCCTTTGCGGTCCGCCAGCGCCAGCGGCAAGTCGGCCTCCCCGCCCGCCCGCTCCCATGGCCCCGAAGCGCAAGGCCGAGGAGCCCCCCGCCGAGTCCGCACCGCCGCCAACGAAGAAGAAGGCGAACAGCGAGTCCGGGGACACGCTCGAGTCCGTCGCGAGCCGCTGCCGCGACAACATCACGGGGACGCTGCTCGTGGACCCCGTCATCGCCGAGGACGGCCACACCTACGAGCGGCGCGCCATCGCCGAGTGGTTCCGGCGCCGCGCGCCGCCGACGAGCCCGTTGACGCACGAGCAGATGGGCACGCAGTTGAAGCAGAACTACGCGATCCGCGCGATCGTCGAGGATCTGGCGACGTCGCCGGGCCTGCCGCGGTCCGAGCGCGCCGAGTGGCACGTCGCCCGGGGCAAGCTCCACTGCGAGCGCGTCGCCGAGCCCGGCCGCGGCGGCCGCGCGCGGGACCCGGACGTGCGGGCCGCGCGCGCGGCGTTCGAGCGCGCGGAGCGGTTGTTGGAGGACGCCGAGGGCGAGGGCGGCGACGACCCGGCGGCGCGGCGCCTCGCGGAGGAGGCGTCCGTGTGCCGCGAGATCTGCGACCGCGTGCTCGACGTGTCGCGGCTCCGGGACCGCGCGCGCGCGGCCGGCGTCGACGTCGGCTGGGCCGACGACGCGTTCGACGCCATCTTCAAGCGCGCGGGCGTGCGGCTCCACCTCTTCCAGAAGCTCGCGCGGGGCACGCGCGTCCGCGTCGTCGACGACCGCCGCGCCGTGCTCGCGGCCTTCGAGGCCCAGGACGACGTGTTGGGCCTGCCCGACGACTGGGAGGAGTCGCTCGGCAACGACTTCCTCGTGGAGAACTACGACTCCAACGACTCCACCTACATCATCGTCAAGCCCGACGCCTTCGACGCGGACAACGACAACACGAAGGAGGGCAAGTGGTGGCCCTACTCCGTCATCGCGCTCCTCGCCTAGGCGCCGCTCGCTTCAAGTTCGCCCCCCCCTCTTCTTTTACATATCTATCGCCCCGCGCCTCGTTCTTACAACGTCGAAATGTCGCCGCGTCTTTTTTACATAAGTTCGCCTTCCTCGGTGCGTCTTCACACGTCAAAGTCCGCCTCGTCGAGCGTCTGGAGGTCCTCGAGCTGGAGCGTGTGCCGCTTCTCCGCGATGCGGACGGCCTGCTTCCGCGCGGCCATCTCGATGAGGTTGCGCACGGCGCGGCCGTTGCCGTTGTCGACGCCCGTGCGCGCCGCGAGGCCCTCCAGGATCTTCGCCATCTTCGCCTCCGCGCCGGCCGAGAGCTTGAGCTCCTGCTTCTCGAGCATCGACCGCGCGATGGCCAGCAGCTCGGCCGCGTCGTAGTCCTCGAAGTGGATCACCGTCGGGAAGCGGCTCTTGACGCCCGGGTTGTGCTGGAGCAGCTCCTTCATCTCGCCGCTGTAGCCCGCGAGCACGACCACTAAATCGTCGCGGCGGTCCTCGATCTGCTTGATCAGCGCGTCGAGCGCCTCGCGGCCGAACGTGTCCTTGGGGTCCTTGACCAGCGCGTAGGCCTCATCCACAAAAAGCATGCCGCCGAGGGCCGACGACACGACCTCGTTGACCTTGATGGCCGTCTGCCCCTGGTACGCGGCGACGAGACCGCTCCGGTCGACTTCCACCAAATGGCCGCGCCGGAGCTGGCCCAGGGCCCGCAGGATGCCCGCGACGACGCGCGCGACCGTCGTCTTGCCCGTGCCCGGGTTGCCGTGGAAGATCATGTGGTTGCACGTGCCGTTGCGCGAGCCGCGCCTGTGTGGAAATCAACCGCTGGTTTGGGGGGTCCCCACCAAACTTCAGAACTCTCTATCTCGATCAAATCGAAGTCGATTCGGCTGATTTTTGGACGAATCGATTGCTCTCGTCGAGTTCTCGAAGCACAGCCGAAGAGCTTGCGTCGAAAATGTCGCATACGCTTTTTGCACATTGAAGTCGGGTTGAAGATTTGATTTCCACACAGAGCCGCGCATGCCCGCCATGCGGCGCCGCGCGTCGAGCTCGATCTGCGCCGCGAGCGCGCGGACGTGGCTCTTGACGCCGCCGAGGCCCGTGATGCCGTCCAACGCCTTCAACGCGTCGGCGACGGCCGACTCGCCGTCGGCGCCGTCGTCGTCCGCGGAGAAGTCCTCGGCCGTCAGCGCGAGGAGGCTCTCCTTGGACACCGTGCCCTTCGCGTAGACGCGGTTCGTCTGCTTGCGCACCGCGTCGTCGACGGCCGCGCGCACCAGGTTGCAGCCGCCGCCGTCGGGGCCGCAGCGGCTGAGTTTTGGTGCTAAAATGCGCTCGAGGCACGCGAGCTCGCGCGCGGCGTAGTCGTCGTCGCCGTCGTCGTCGTCGCCGAGGCCGCTCAGAGCGAAGCCGCGGACTTTCACCTCCTCCTGCAGCAGCCGCGCGACGTGGGTCAGCGTGTACTCCGCGAGCTCGAACGTGATGGGGCTCGCGGCGCCGAGCGCCGGGCAGCTCCGGAGCAGCGTCGCGTGGCACGACCCCCGCGTCGTGAAGAGCACCGCGTAGCCCTGCGTCTTCGCGAGCGGCGTCGTCGCCGCGGACACGAGCGCCTCGAGCGCGACCTTGGCGTACTCCGAATTCCGGGAATGGTCGCGGTCGCCGTTCGCGAGGCCCCCCGCGTCCGTCACGAGCAGCAGCCCCCCCCGGTCGCTCACCGCGTTCACGGCCGCCTGCGCGCTCGACAGCGTCGCCGCCGTCGACGACTTGATGAGGTCGTGCTTCTTCACGACCTCGAGCTTGTTCCGCGACAGCAGGCCCAGGTCGTGGAGCATGCCGCAGAGCACCCTGGCGACGTGCTCGAAGTTCGCGCCGTCGCTGCCGACGACGACGAAGGCGCGCGCGACGTCGTCCTTGATGCCGAACGCCGCGCGCTTCTTGCCGACGACGAGGCGGTTCCGCAGGCTCCGGAGCATGTCCTTGACGCTCTCGAGGCCCACGATCTCCTTGAGCGCGACCTCGAGGTCGAAGGGCTGCGGCGGCGGGTCGAGCTTCTTCTTCGAGGGCGCCGCGGCGACGCCCTTGGACGGCTTGGGCTTGTCCGGCGGCGGGCTCTTCTTCGCGGGCTTCTCCGCCGCGGGCCTCTCCGGCGGCGGCGGCGGCGGGAGGCTCGCCTTCTTGCAGAGGAGCGTGCACTGGCTCGGGCTCGCGAAGATCGCCTGCGTGGGAACCGACGAGTGGCCTGGACCGGTCCAGCAAAACGTCGCATCTCTCTCTCTCTCTCGAATAGTCGTGTTTCCCGCCCGGAAGAGCGCGTGGCCGACCTCGCAGCGGAAGTGGCGCTCGCCGCTGCTCCGCTTGCCGTCGCCTAAACCGCTCCGGAAGCCGTCGAGGCGGATGCCCACGACCGTGCGCCCGCCGCTCGGCCCGACGAAGCGCACGTCACCGGGGCAGACCGACGTCTTGTCCATCTTCACGGACACGCGGTCGCCGACCTCGAAGCTCACCGCCGACGGGTGCGACCCCTTGGGCGGGCCGAAGGAGCTCTTCGCCGCCGAGGCGTTGCGCTTGAGGCCGCCGCCGTGCTCGCGGCGGTTCTCCTTGTTCGCGCTCCCGCGGACGTGGTGCGCCGGCATGGCTGGCGCGGGTCGGGCAGCCTCTACGGGTTTTTAACGGGCTCCGCCTCAACGTGCACGGCGCGTGCAGACTTATTACGGGGGCAGCTATATTATGGCTCTGGCATGGGCCTCCGAACGCTGCGAATCGTTCCGGTGCCATCCCTACGCGAACGAGGACCGGGTCGTGCGGGCCTACGTCGGCGTCTTCCTGGAGAAGATGCTCGCCGAGCTCGACGGCGGCGGCGCGAAGGGCGTCGAGCACGTCTTCCGCAACCTCGCGCTCTTCCTGAGCCCGCCCGTCGCGGCGCTCGACGGCGGCGGCCAACCCCTGCCCGACCTCCGGAACGCCCTGCCCGACGGCGGCGAAGCCTACGACGCGCGGGCCTCGACGGCGCGCGCCTC